TGGCTCCGTCAGCGGGCTGAGTGGGTGGGTCCAGGCCTGCCCTTGCCCGCCTGTGAGTGTGGACGAGTTATCCTGCAGGCAAGCAGGACAGGGAGCTCTCCATTAAAACAAAAAATTTTTTGATGGCTTAGGTGCATTTTACTGCTTTTCTTGCAATGTTTTTTTGTTTTTAATTCTTCATTTTTGTCATCTGTAAAATGGGTAGAATGGAGATTACTATGGGATGGCCTGATATGTAGAAAAGAATTAGTGGTGCTCGATACATTATCACTCCCTTGGGCCTCCCTCACCCCATCTTTCTTGTCACCGCTAGGTAACCCCTCAATTTCTTCCCTGTTGACCTCTGTTTGAATCCAGGACCCTGAACAGGGACAGTACCTCACGGCTGACATAATCTGCCATGGCTCAGGGCTCTCAGACCATTTATGCAAATTCGTTTCTTAGGACCTCATAATCTCTAAGAGATGCACAAGTCAGATTTTCACCGTCTTTCTTTCAAGTTTTTCTGTGGCTCTCTGCCAGGATGTAAGTTCTGAGATGATCTCAAGGTCCCACGTGGCCTGGCCTCTGACCAGACAGACACGTGCTGGTAAAACTTGGCAGGGGGGCTAGGGAGGTGGGGAGGGGGCAGTCTTGATTTGCAGCATTTGCCCGTTTCCCTGGTGTAAATACTCCTTCTAAGGCCAGGTTCAAGCTGCCAACTTGACATCACGGTGCGTGATGCACAGGTTGCCTCGCACCGCCAGCCCCTGTCCCCGCCCCTCTTGGCCTTACCCTCTTCCAGCCCCAATCCGTGCCCTGGGCTTCAAGGTCTTGCCCACCAACTCGGCTCTGTTCCTAAGAGGCCTTGACTCACAGTTTCCTTTTTTTGATAGTATCCCCGTTAGACCGGGTGATGAACACTGTAGTTACCTCGTGGAGTCCGCAGAGCCCAGCCAGCATATTTCGAGATGAGGTGCAGGAAACCTGAGATCTAGTTCCCCAAGCTCCTGAGATGTGGCTTTCGGCCACCGATTCTGCTCTCCTGGCCTCAGCCAAATGGGGCTGCTTGAGCTCATTGCATTACTGTGTATGTGCTTCCTCTGAGTGGACTGGGGCAGGTCACCATCCTAGGGGCAACCCACATGATTGTTTGGGGGCCCAGGGCAGAGTCTAATGGGCAGGCTGGAGTTCATGTCTAGAGCAGGTTCTGGGAGATCGTGGGACCTCAAGGGATGTGACAGAGAAGAGAAAAGGCAGGTAGGCAGGCTGGGAAGGGGAGGACAGCGGCCCTGCCTGGGGACTGCCCACCTGCCACGTGCTGCACTGAGCGCATTAGGCATGCAGTGCTGTGCTGTACTATGTTTTGCTATGTTCTGTCATGTCCTGTTGTTATATTCTTAGGTTACAGTCTATTGTGTTATATCATGCAGTTATGTTATATTGTGTTACCTTGTGGTAGACTGAGTTGTGTTATGTTCTGTTTATTATGTATATGTGATGCAGGGTTACATCCTTGCAGTAATCCTATGAGGCAGATATTATTATCCTCATTTTATAGGTGTGCAAACTGAGGCTTAGAGATTGCAGCATCTGCGACACGCGTTCATTAATTGAATAATAGTTTGCTGAGCACCCGTGGCCTCACCTTCAACCACTCTCACCCTTGCTCGGTCCACTCCAGCCCCAAGCGTTTTCCTCCTTTCAGGGCCTGGCACCCTCTGCTTCCAGCTTTGCACACACCTGACACCGTCTTGTCCTGTGGGTCTCAGCTGCGATGTCGCATCCTCACATTTGTGAAGATGCCGATATGTGTGTGCAGGTTGTGCACAGTTCTAGAAGGGTCCATCTGGGTTAATCACTGCATGGTGCCTCCTTGCATTGACATATAAAACTGTACCCAGCAGCCATTCACCTCCGCCAGCGTTTCCCCTGAACACCCGACATAAAGTAACCCCCAGTCACTCTCACTGCCCCCTTTCATAGCACTCATCGACCATCTAAGAGTGCGCTGTTCGTTTTCACGTTCACTGATGGTTTGTGTAAGCTTCGTGAGGACAGGGCCCCCTTCCTTCACGTTCCCTGATCAGAGAGGCCGGCAGGTTGAGGTCCCACGGGTGGAGAGCAGGTGGACCTGCGCTGGGTCCGCTCTGTGTCTGACTACAAAGCTCTGGCCCTCTGGCCCCCGGTGGGAGGATCCCACCAGAGACCATGAGGACCAAAGGCCCATGAGCTGGCCCAGGACAGTGTGCCCCTGCCCTCTCTCCAGCCGAAGGCAGTCGTGCAGCTCTGTGAGCTGCTGAAGCTTCTCGGCTTTGAGAGACTTGGAGCTGCGTGAACTTGCTGGCAGCTGCTTTGGTGCCAACGTTTTCTCTCACCCCTCTCTAGCAACAGTCCAGGGCGAGAAAGCCACGCTCCAAGAGTAAAAGCAAGATAGACCTTTTGAAGAAGTGTATTGAAGACAAAATTCAGCTCTTTGACGAGCCGGCCCCTGAAGACCTGGTTGAAAAGGTCAGTGCTTCTGCCTCCTCTGTTTTTTCTCGTTGCCCTTGGCAGGGCTGGCGGCCACCCCACCTGCAGGGCGCCCATAGCCCCCCCAGGGCTACGGCTGTCCATCTCCACCAAACCCGGTGTTTCTAAGCTGTGGTCCCGCAGATGGGACACACCCCTTCCCCTCACGCCTTCCCACCTGGTCCTTCTGTCTGGAACCCTCTCCCTCCTCTTCTCTACCCGGAGGTCTCCAGTTCATCCTCTGGCCCCAGCCCAGCTGCCCGTGGCTGCTGCCATCTTCATGCCTGGTTCTGTGCTGAGACGTTTGCACGTGTTGCTGCACTTCTGTCTCGCTTTTTCTCTGGCCTACTCCCCTCCGCGCTCCCACGGCAGCCTGGCCTCCCTGTCCGGCCCCACGGCAGCCTGGCCTCCCTGTCCGGCCCCTCGCTACATATCCTTTATGCTCCTGCACATGCGCACACGACCCCACGGTGCTTGTCTGTGCTCCTCCCCCCTCCTGGAATTACCTGTCCACCTTTCCTTACCTGGATAAGTGAACTTTGTCCTTAGCCATCCTCAGATGTTGCGTCTGTCCTCAGGTGTCCCCTCTTTCAAGAAGCCTTGCCGGAACACCCCGCTGTTCCCACATGTTCCCCCCACTTTCACCTCCCTTTCTGAGCATAACATGTATCACACTGTTCATTCAGTCATTCCCCTGGTATTTTGAGGAGGCAACAATGTCCCAGGCACTGTGTTAATGTCCTCGGGGCTGCGTCAATGACTCAGGCGGTCCTGGTCCCCGCTCTCAGAGGGCCTGCATTCTAGATGGAGGAGAGGGACAAAAGACTCTTGAAATCACAGGCCATGGTCAGTGCCATTAAGGACGTGAGTAAGGGGATGTGACAGTGACTGGGGCCGAGGGTAAGGAGACGTGGGATCCCCTGTAGGTGGGAGAGTCAGGTTAGGTCTCTCTGGGAAGGTGACATTTCAGAGCTGACATCATGTTGTCACGGCCTGGGTGCCTGCTGTCCCCCCAGCACTCAGCAAAGCATAGGCTCCCAGGAGGGGTATGTACCGAGAATGGGTATGTCAAACCATATGTTAGAGCTGCTGTTTTCGTTCCTACCTTCTGTCCATGTCCTTTGCCTAATTTCTCATCTTTATTTTTTTTAGTATAAGAGTATTTCTCAGAACACAAGTGCTTGCGCTGGCAAAGAGCCGTGGGACTGCTCGGGGCAAGGTCGGTGGCTCCTGCCAGGGGCGTCTGGCTGTTGATGTCTTAAGGGACCCAGGACATAGGTCCCCACTCGTGTTCTGTATAAAATTGAGAAATAAGAGTCAGGCAGGAAGAGGCAAAGATACCGTCTTTCTTATTGCTGAGGGCTACTTCCCATAGTTGTGTGATGTGGGACTTACATGTGAGGCTCTCGCTTCTGTAAAATGAGTTGTGACAATGATAACCCACTGGTCCCAGGGTTTTTGTGAGCAGCACAGTAGCGAGGCACTTTTGCACTTTGGAGTGGGCCACAATGCTAGTTTTCCCCAATAATGGAGCAGCTCCATGTGCCCCAAAATCCAGGCATCTCAGAGGAAAGCAGAGGGGAGCCATTTGTCAGCTGTGACCTTTTGATGACAGGCCACCTTCACAATCACCTATTTCACTGTGGCAAGTGCCAGTAGAATACATACTCGTGAGTCAACGGCTTTCATGTCCCTCCTGCAATTGACCGATCGCGCATCTCTCAGCATCCCGGTGGTGATTGTTTGGAGTTTCCATTTGCAGGGTAATTGCGGAGGGAAATGACAGCCCTCGGTGTGAGTGCCGGCAGCTGAAAGTTGTGTGATCGTGTTTCGGGACTGGGAAGCCCCTCAAAGCTCATGCAGCAGCTGTAAAGAGGGAGCTGGTCTTGCTGACCGTGGCCCCAGCCTGGCTGGCAGTGTGGTGTCCGCAGCGGGACTCCGGCTTCACAGCCGGGGCTGCAGAGCACGCCCTCTGTCTTCCCGAGCACCCACGTCAGATATCCCCGCAACCCTCAGCCCCGGGTGGATAGATTCCTTGTCTGGACACCTCCACCTGTAGAGACTGGGAGAATTGTCCAAGGTCTCTTGGTCAGTGAGTGGTAGAGCTGGGGTTTGAACAAGGCATGCCTGCCTTCATCACCCGTGCCCTTTCCGTCACAGCGCTGTGACCTCGGCGAGCTGCGACACTGAGATGGCGTCAGCCCTGCAAGATGACTGCTCGGCGTTCCTTCCATTTCCTTCCTTCCGTTTCCTTGTCCTTCTCTCCCTTCCCCTTCCCTATCTCCCTCCACTTCCTCCTCCAGGGGACGTGTTGTGGGGGGTTCCCTGGGCCAGACACTGTTCTAGGGCTGTGCTTTTGACATGGTCACAGCTCCAGAGAACAGCCACCTGCGCATCGACCATCTGGAAGTTTACATGCTGCCATCGGGTAGAAAAGCCACCTGACTAATCTGAGCTCCCCCTTGAATGAATGGTTGGGCCACTGATCCAGGGAAGGAAGACGGACAGACAGACAGACCAGTGTGGGCTTCCTGCCTGCCCCCTTTTTCTGTACAGCTAGTGGGTTAATGGAGTGAGGTGTCAGCTTTGGTCACAGCCAGGTGTCCAGAGAAACACAACACAAATTATGTGGCTCATTTTAACTTTCCAGCTATTAGAAATACATCTGTCTGTCTGTCTGTCTCTCTCTATCTATCTATCTATCTTTCTTTCTTTCTTTCTTTCTTTCTTTCTTTCTTTCTTTCTTTCTTTCTTTCTTTCTTTCTTTCTTTCTTTCTTTCTTTCTTTCTTTCTATCTATCCGTCCGTCCGTCCATCCATCTCTGCTTTTTACTTAACGCTGAAACATGACAATTTTCCATTCAGTATGTAAGCTTCCTCATTGCTTTTTTCAGCAGCATAGCATTGGTATGTGTGACTCTTAAATGATTTAACCAGCCCTCAGTTAATGAGCATTTAGGTTCTTTTCAATCCCTTGCTATTTGAAATGACCTTGGAACATCTGCATGTCTCCCACACCTCTCTGCAGTGAGGCAGGAGAATTATCACCATCTCCACTTCACAGATGAGAACACTGAGGCACAGAAAGGTTGAGAGGCTTGTCCCCCGGTCACTTACGCGTTGGTTGGTGGTGTGAAGCCCATCCCTGTGTTCTATTAACAGGCCTGCTTGATGCACCCAGAAATGAAGAAGATATTTCGGTTAATCTTTGGTGTACTCTCCTGCTGTTTTGGCACACAGCATATTTAAGTTTCTCATACATATGTATTCCTTAGCAACATTTAAATATAAATGAAAATGATACCACGTAATTCCCCGCTCACCCGTTCTTTCTGGGATTATTTTAATGAGGTCGCCCTGCGTCTGGGTGGCGTGTCTACGACATATCCGTTCACCTGTTCATTATTTATTCCCTCTTTCCGGGTTCTGTGATGTGCCGTGCCGGCTCAGCTGATTAGCAGCCCCTTCATTCAGAAGTGGAACTCGCGCATCATAATTGGCCCTGCCACCTTTTGTGTTTTCTGCAGCTGCCTCCGCAATTATGCAGAGGTGGCTGGCACTTGTGTCAGGAACAGTTCTTCACACTCCTGTCATTTCACAAGTGACTCGAGTGCAAGCCTGAGAGTAATGTGCTCATTTTCAGATGACCTGACGAGCGAGAGCCGATGGCACAGGTCCTTATAAAGCTTAGAAAGAGGGCATGTCGGAAGGGAGCCCATTTTAGGATGAGGAGGGGGAATCCATCCATCCAAAGGCTGGGGAAGCCTCCAGCCAGTTCTCTTCATGTCTCCTGTTGCTCCCGTTCTATCCTTAGAGGCAGCCTCTGTCAGAGTCATCTTCACGGCTTCCCATTACCCCCAAACGAAATCCAGGTTCCTAAGCGTCGTGTTCAGGGCCTCGCAATCAGTCATCAGCTTACCTTTGTCATCCTCTATGCTACTAGCTTTCGCTTACCACAAGGTTATGGTGGCTGCCTGTGCTTGGTTTGAATATAGTAACTTTTTGCTTCATGGCCCATTTCACAATTTTACTTTTCAATTTCATGAACTTGTGCACACGTTCCTTTGAAGAGTCAAATAATTCTGCAAGATTTGTGCAGAAAAACCAGCATTTTTCCCTGCAGCCACAGACACACAACATTTTCAAATCCCCAGAGGTGACGATGTTCAATTTTTTAGCTTGATCTTTCGGTGTTCACCTCCATATCTTTAAAGAACATGCTTGTCTTGCTATTCTTGATTTCTCTGTTAGGCATTAGCACTTCATTTTTCTTTATGGAAGATAAGATTTCTCTGTCTTTCTTCTTTCAGCCTGCATCACACAAGAGCCCTTTCTGTCTTCATCACCCCCAGTGTAGTTATATCTGTATTTAAGATTCCTAGTGTGATTATTTTTCAATGTTAGTCATATCTGAGCCATATAAAAACTGAGATTCATTTTTCTTTCCTGTATTAACTTTTTTGGGGTTTTTTTTGGACTTAATATTATCCTTTGGTTTCTTCTTTGGTAACTTTTCTATGTACTTAGCGCTAATGCAGTCCTCTCCTTGACAGTTGTCCAAATATCCTATCAGGACTGCCACACAAGTCATGTCTTCTAGTAATCGCATCATCCTGAGGACGTGTCTCTGTCCTTCTGGCATGTCCCACTCTGGACTTTGCCCACTATACCTTATGCACAGCTGCCGTCTTGGGGGTCATGCTGTGAATTTTCTTCACCCCTCTCTTTCCTGATATGGTTCTTATTTTAATGAAATGCATCCTCTGTTGGTTTCCTAGAAAAGGGCACATGGGAGATTTAATATTTTGAAATTTTGCGAAACTGAAAATGTTTTTATTCTGTTTGCCAATCTTGGAATCCTGGGAGATTTTCTGAAGTAATTTTGATGATTTAACTCCCCTTCTTTTTCTTATCTGTCTTTCTAAATCTGTCATGATTCAGATGTTGGGCCTCTTGTCCATTAGCGTTTTTATTTTCCTTTTTCAATATTTTCTTTTGTTC